GGAAATACTTATCTCTACTTTGCTGCATCACCCTTTCCTCTTCAAGGGAAAAAGCAATGAAATCTCAAGAAGTAGCAATCCATAGCAATGAGGGGGATCGAGCGTGTCTATGTACCATCATAGACCGTAAGCAGAAGCATTTGGCAGCACGGTTGATGTAGTCGAACTTCTTCTAGCTCCGACTGATCAAGCACCGAACGTACGACACCTCCGAGTTCTGCACACGGTCAACTCGGTGACGTCCCTCGCCTTCTTGATCCAGCAAGGTGTCGAGGTAGTAGATGAGTTCTGTCAGCACGACTACGTGGTGACAGTGATGGTGAAGTGATCCTTGCAGGGCTTCGCCTAAGCACTGTGAGAATATGACCAGGGGTGTAAAATGTGGAGGGGGTGCCGCACACGGCTAACAATTGATGTTGTGTGTTCTAGGTGCCCCCATGTATATATAGGTGGGGGGAGGCAGCCATGGGGTGCCCCAAGTAGGCCGAATCCTACTTGGGGTCCTCCCCAATTCGGCCTCCCCCTTCCATAAATGCCAGAGGGGGAAGGAAAGAGGAGGGAGGAGGGAAGGAAGGGGGAGGCCGAACCCCCCTATCCTTTCTCCCTTCCCCTCTTTCCTTCTCCTCTGGTTCCACCCATATGGGGGGTGCACCGGCCCCTGATGGCTAGTGTGTTTCCCCTCTTGGCCCAATAGGCCCATATCTTTTGCCGGGGTGCCCGGAACCCCTTCCGGTGACCCGAACGTACCCGATACCCTTCGGAACACTTCTGGTGTCCTAATACTATCATACTATATATCAATTTTTACCTCTCAACCATTTCGAGACTCCTCGTCATGTCCGTGATATCATCCGGGACTCCGAACAACAATCGGTTACTAAAACACATAACTCATATAATACAATATCGTCATCGAATGTTAAGCGTGCGGACCCTACGGGTTCAAGAACTATGTAGACATGACCGAGACACCTCTCCAGTCAATAACCAATAGCGGAACCTAGATGCTCATATTGGCTCCCACATATTCTACGAAGATCTTTATTGGTCGAACTGTTATGACAACATACGTTATTCCCTTTGTCATCAGTATGTTACTTGCCCGAGATTCGATCGTCGGTATCTTCATACCTAGTTCAATCTCGTTACCGACAAGTCTCTTTACTCATTCCGTAATACATCATCCTGCAACTAACTCATTAGTCACTTTGCTTGCAAGGCTTCTTATGATGTGTATTACCGAGAGGGCCTAGAGATCTATGCCAACCCAACAAACAACTTTGGAGATACCTGTAGAGCATCTTTATAATCATCTGATGTCTACTATGCAACTTTATTCTTGTAGACATCTGTTGGGCCTCCAAGCGTAGAATTTTGTAGGGCGGTAGCAATTTTCCCTCAAGTGGATGACCTAAGGTTTATCAATCCGTGGGAGGCATAGGATGAAGATAGTCTCTCTCAAGCAACCCTGCAATCAAATACAAGAAATCTCTTGTGTCCCCAATACAATAGCAAACTGTATACGTGCACTAGTTCGGTGAAGAGATGGTGATAGAAGTGTAGTGTGGATAGTAGATGTGAGTTTTTGTAGTGCGAAAAATTAAAAACAGCAAGGTAGTAAATGATAAAATGGAGCACAAACGGTATTGCAATAATGGAAAATGAGGCCTAGGGTGCATACTTTCACTAGTGCAATCTCTCAACAATGCTAACATAGTTGGACCATATGATCATCCCTCAAAATGCAATAAAGAATCACTCCCGAGTTCCTATTAGCGGAGAACAAAAGATAGAAATTGTTTGTAGGGTACGAAACCACCTCAAAGCTATTCTTTCCGATCAATCTATCCTAGAGTTTGTACTAAAATAACACCATATAATACATATCAACCAACTCTAATGTCACATAGATACCCCAATGTCACCACGAGTACCCATGAGTTAATTATACGATATGTATCAAACAATTTCATATTCACAATACTCAATCCACACAAAGAACTACAAGGAGACCCCAAAGATTCTATCGGAGAAAAGATAATAAAAACGTGCATCAACCCCTACACATAGATTACCCCAAAGTCACCTCAGGAATCCACAAGTTGAGTGCCATAACATATATCAAGTGAATCAAAATAATACCCCATTGTCACCATGGGTATTCATATGCAAGACATATATCATGTGTTCTCAGGTCTTAACATTCAATCCGACAAGACAAAACTTCAAAGGGTAAAGACTCAATTCATCACAACAAGAGAGAGAGGGGAGAAACATCATATGATCCATCTATGTTAACAAAGCCCATGATATATCAAGATCCTGACATCTTAAGATCACGAGAGAGAGAGAGAGAGAGAGAGAGATTACACACATAATTACTGGTACAAACCCTCACCCGCGAGGGTGGACTACTCCCTCCTCATCGTGGTGGCCGCCGGGATGATGAAGATGGCTACCGGTGATGATTCCCCCCTCCGGCAGGGTGCCGGAATGGGGTCCCAATTGGTTTTTGGTGGCTACAAAGGCTTGCGGCGGTGGAACTTCCGATCTAGGGTCTCCCCGAGGGTTTTCAAAATATTTGGGAATTTATAGGGCAAAGAAGGGGTACGGGAGGCCACCGAGGTGCGCACAACCCACCAGGGCGCACCCTGCTGGGTGATGCCCTCCTCGAGGCACCCCCTAGGTGCAGCCTTTGCCCACTGGTTCTCTTCTGGTCCATAAAAATCCACAAAAAGTTTCGCGGTGTTTGAAGAACTTTCATTTCTGCACAAAAAACAACACCACGGTAGTTCTGCTGAAAACAACGTCAGTCCGGGTTAGTTCCATGCAAATCATACCAAAACCATATAAAATTATTATAAACATGGCATGAATACTTCATAAATTATAGATACGTTGGAGACGTATCATCATCCAGTTACGTTGTGACGTTTGATAGCACATAAGGAATTCCTCCGGTATCCAGGAGTTGCATAATCTCATAGTCAACGGAATATGTATTTGACATGAAGAAAGCAATAGCAATAAAACTGAACGATCATAATGCTAAGCTAACGAATGGGTCTTGTTCATCACATCATTCTCCTAATGATGTGATCCCGTTTATCAAATGATAACACATGTCTATGATTAGGAAACTTAACCATCTTTGATCAACGAGCTAGTCTAGTAGAGGCTTACTAGGGACACGGTATTTTGTCTATGTATCCAAACATGTATCAAGTTCCCGATCAATACAATTCTAGCATGAATAATAAACCTTTATCATGAATAAATAAATATAAAATAACACCTTTATTATTGCCTCTAGGGCATATTTCCTTCATGGATTGCGCGCGCCGCCGGCGGGTGGCACCTGGCAACGCCGAAAGACGTGAGCTTTGGGATTGGCACGCCGTGCCGGTGTACGGGGTCGGAATGCGGCAAGGCAGAGAGAGCCTACGCGGAGGATGGGATGGCGACCGATGCCACCAACAAGCTAGGAACCGAAAAGGAACACATATCCAAGCTGCTAGGGACGGAGCCGTCGGGATGTCGCCAAGCCAAAGGCCGGAGAGACGCAACAACTGGACCGCCGGGGGCGGAACCACGCCCGCAGAGGACGCTGGAGAACGCATGTACATGACCGCCAGGACCGGAGCGGAGCCGACAAAGTGTCCACCACGAGGCCTCAACCACCCGCTAGAGAAGACCACCTTGACCACAGAAATCGGACGGAAACAACACCGTAGCTCGGAGGAGGCGTCGCCGGAGATGAGGAGCAGCCTGCAACCTGGGCAGGGCCAGAGCCTCTGCTCGCCTGGGGTCCTCCACCATCCAAGCCGCGCTAGCACCATCAGCAGCAACACAGTGGAAGAGCGTGCTGTCGAGGGGGAGACGACCATGGGAGGAGCAGAACGAGCTCGTGCTGCCACGCCGGGCCGGAGGACGTATCAGCCGGAGGGAGGGGTGGGGAGGAGCTTCGCCAGATCGGATCTGGGCGGGCGAGGCCGAGCGCGCGAGGAAGACACCGGGGCGCAGCTGCCGCCGCGAATCCGGGCAAGGAGGGGACGAGCGCCGTCAGAGGGGATGAGGGAGGCGGCGCTGGAGAGGGACGCGATGGTGGAGCGGCTCCGACTAGATCGAGGTTGGGGGAGGGGTCCTGGCTTGAAGAGGGGAACGAGACCGCCTCGCCGCCACCTTCCCTGGGCGCGGCGCGCTTCGCCGGCCAGCCCTCCGGCGGCGGCGCTGCGGGGAGTGACGGTGTAGAGTGGAACTTGGGCGGCGGCGCTGGTTTTTCCCCGTGTTGCCAGACACGTGCGACGTGGGGGACGAGGGTGGCTCCTTTATGCTCAAAGTCGAGCGGGGAGGCTGCGAATTCGGGTTAAGGAAGGTGGAGTGAGAGAGCGGCCCGGTGAACATTTCGCTATGATGCTGAGACTGAATACCGGACCCGTCGAATTTGAATCATGTCCATGCTCCATGAAATCGAATAAAGTTGCGAATTTTTCTTCGACGGCCATGCATGTCATGAAATCGACGATGATGTCGTGAATTAAGAGCGAACCCCACATGTAGTAGATTAACTCCATAGTATATTGTTGACTCATGAAGTTGAACTATCCAATGGTGGTTCGTTACTTCCGGGAAATATACAAGTAAGTGCTTTGCAGCAGAAAAAATGTCGATCGGAAATTGAACTCAAATTCCCGCCACGGAGAAACTCCAATACGCGCGCGTGGGCCGAAACCCGCCTGCTCCCCCCGCCCACGTTCTTTCGCCACGTCAGCGATCCGCGCCAAGGCGCATCTGGGTCGTCCATTGCGCACCGCGGCGGACGGCCGATATCATATCGATCCGTGGCACCCATCCGTCCACCAATCAGAGCCCGCCTCCCTCCTCATATAAATTCGCCGCGCCCTCGCCGTTTATCCACCACCATTCCCCCCACCTTCGAGCGAAGCCGCGCACAGCACACCAGAGCACCTCTCCCCGTTGCAGCAGCAGCAGCAGCATCCATGGCGCCCAAGGCTGCCGAGAAGAAGCCGGTGGAGAAGACCCCCGCGGGCAAGAAGCCCAAGGCGGAGAAGAAGGTGCCGGCGTCCAAGGAGGGCGGCGAGAAGAAGGGGAAGAAGAAGTCCAAGAAGAGCGTAGAGACGTACAAGATCTACATCTTCAAGGTGCTGAAGCAGGTGCACCCGGACATCGGGATCTCCTCCAAGGCCATGTCCATCATGAACTCCTTCATCAACGACATCTTCGAGAAGCTCGCCGGCGAGTCCGCCAAGCTGGCGCGGTACAACAAGAAGCCCACCATCACATCCCGGGAGATCCAGACCTCCGTCCGCCTCGTCCTCCCCGGCGAGCTCGCCAAGCACGCCGTCTCCGAGGGCACCAAGGCTGTCACCAAGTTCACCTCCGCCTAATTTGGCACGTCGTCCGTGTGTCTTCTCTGGTGGATGGATCGATGTCACCCTGTAGTTTCCTGTTCGGACTCTGTCCTCTTGTAACTTGTGCTGGTTGTGTGGGATCATATTTCATGATCCGGAGAAATAGTAATTTCAGTTCTTGATATGATTGTGCAAGCTCGCTTTTTCTCTGTAAATCTCTGCGGCAACGACTCTGAACTTGCAGATATGTTTCTCTGTTTCAATTCTTAATTTCAGTTTCAGCGAAGTGTTTAGTGCCCTGTTTCAGTTAACTGATGAATTGTGGATATCTTCAGACAAACTCAGTTTCATCTGCCGACCTTTTGTCATGCTCGCTGAATGGCCATGATCCCCCAGAACGGATCGTGAGGTTAATGGATCAGGCTTGTTCTAGTCGAGGAGAGGATGTTTATTTAGAGAAGACGCACATAAACTTTTCTTGTGCTGAAATGCATATTTTGTACCATGTGTATTTTCTTTCGCCACTTTTTGTAATAATGTAATCACATTGTTGTTCTTGGGAGTACATGGTATGCAAATCTCTGCAGACAACGACTCCAAACCGGCAGAGATGTTTCTCTGTTGGACTATGAACTCTGAACTTGCAGGATGTAGGGTGGTGAGTCTATTTCAGTTAACTGACGAAAGTGTCGGTATCTTCAGACGTAAACTCAGTTCGATGGCTTTGATCGCCTGAAACTTCACTGTTGCCCATGCAGATGTTGCCGTTACTGAAAATCTCTGCTCCGTCACGACGTCAAGCATTAAAAACCAAAGCTAATCTCCAAATAATCATGGCGAAATTGGTTTCTTTCTAGCTCTGCATTCTGTACAACACGCGGCTTCAGTTGGAAGCACAAGTTAACAGCAAATGAACGCGCCGATCGCACGAAGAAAGAATTAGTCTCACACACGACCACGAGCAGCTCGTGATTCACTGATCAGTGGCACACGATGGTCCCGAAGCAGTCGATCCCATCGAACTCCGGCGCGAACCGCGGCCTCAACGTCGGCGGTGACTGCGATTTCCCCTTGTCCGGCTGCTGCTCCGCCTCAGCCGGCAGACCGCGCTGCTTTCCGTCTTGCCCTGCTCTAGCCTGGTCGTCGTCGTCCTGCTGCTCCTGCAGCCTCCTCCCCTGCCGCTGCCAGGAGAGCCGAGCCCAGCTGTTGCCGGAGCCGGCGCCGGGGGCGACGTCAGCCGGCGACGCGCTCAGGATGGAGAAGGCCAGCACCTTGTCCATACTCGATTGGAGACGGGGATGATTCCTGGCTTCCTGCAGCAGCTCCGGCGGCCGACGCTTTCTTGCACGCACGCACGCTCTGTGACTTTGCTTCAATTAATCAACTGGCTTTGCTTGCTTGGTGAAGGGAGAGCGGCGACGCGACCCGGCTTATATACGGCGGGGCATGGTCATGGAGGAAGTTTTGGGCATGGCGGTTTCTAGCGCGCGCTGGAGGAGTCCAGAATATTCGTGGACGCGGCCGTGAGGGAGAACCAGCGAGCGAGCTCGTGAAAACGCGGTGGCGTGGTGGAGGTTGCAACCGTTCTGTGGTTTCGCGCGTGTTTTCCTGCTGTGCTGCCTTCACATGGCATTAAAGTATCACCCTCTTAACATTTTGCCTTTTTTTAGATTTTTGGAAACTTCCAAACTTGATTTTCCATGAAGTTTTTTTAAATGTTGGTTCCCATGTAATAGCATGACACCTTGGGCGGGGGCACCATGCTAGAGAACACGACACCCTGGCCCGGGGCGCCATGTTTCAAAAAATTGGATGTTAATATAGGTTTTCAAAAAAAAAAGATCATGTATTTAAGAAATGTTTAACGCGAACTCCCTCCATAAAAAAATATAAGACCGTTTAGATCATTAAAGTAATGGTCTAAATAATTTAGATGTATATGATTTTTTTAGAATGTTTACTGAAAAAAGCTTAAAATTTGTTGAACAAAAAAGAAAAGAAAAGATAAAAATCAACAAACAAACACAAATAAAGACGAAGAAAACAAAGGAACAAAGAAATATAAAATAAAACCAGTGAAAAACAAAAGAAAACTAAATTTATAACAAAGAAAAGCACGTCATTCGGCTCGCTCTCAGCCGCCCCCACGTGTCGCGCTCTGGGCGCTTCCTATGTATTTTTTTTATTTTTTTGCACGTGTTTCTGGCTTTTTAGATGATTTTTTCTGGGTTTTTTCGGCTTTTCTGTTTTCCTTGCCTTTCGTATCTTTTGGCCCTTTTGTTTTTTCTTCTATTTTTGAATTTTTTATTATATTTCCTTTTTAAAATTCATGGCATTTTATAAAATTCATTTTTCTCCAAAATCCATTATTTGTATTTTATAAAAATCATGAACATTTTTGAATTTTTGAATTTGTTTTCAAATCCATGAATGATTCAAATTCATATTTGGTTTTAAAATTCATGAACATTTTTCCTTATTAACATTTTCTAAAAATATCTGATTTTTTATTATTTATACCTTTTTTTTTAAAAACGAACCTTTTTAAAACATGTGAAACCTTTTCAAATCCATGAACATTTTCAAGTGTAGCAAACATATTACAAATCCCCAAACTCTTTTTAGAAAAGTGAACGATCAATGTCAACGATCAGTGGTCAACGGTCAAGGCAAGCTAATCAGCTGGTTGAAAGAAGAATGAAACAGGACGAGGCAACTAGCGAGAGCAAGGCGGGCGAGCAATGGAAGTGTTAATGGGCCACAGCCTGGGACATACTATCTTTTAGTGGGCGCTAGGGACAAAAATTGGCGCTGAAGCGCCGATTAGGAGGACTGCACCATCTGGTCATCACTTTCTCATGTGGCGTGTACCGTGCCATGGACTACTGGGCTGGGCCAATACTTTCCTCAAAATTTGGGACTTGCTACCACTCTCCATCCAATTGGAGGCTCCCACCCCGGCGACATGGAAATTTTTATTCCTAAATACTCCCTCCGTTCACTATTATATGTTCTATTTTTTAATCGAATGTACATAGACAAGTTTTAGTGTGTTTGTAAACTCATTTCAATCCGCATGTAGTCCATATTACAATATTCAAAACGTCTTATAATAGGGAGCGGATGGAGTATTTGCTAACAGGTTGAAGGTAATTTTGCCGGAAGTCATCTATCAGGAACAATGAGCTAAGTTGTATTACTCTCGCACACTGATTACATTGGCCACGACGGGCTTATATAGCAGAAGTACACACACAGAGAGAGGGAGAGAGTATACAACGGCACCCCTGCCATGCAGGGCGTGCGGGCGCACGTAGGCGCATGAACAGCGTGGGCAATTAGCCTAGCTAGAGACCCGGCGAGTGGGTTAGCCATCTGGGAGCTGTTGTAGACGAGCAATCGAACACCCCCCCGCAGCCGAAACGTGAGGTTCACCGATGTTGAGGCTGGACCGAAAATCGTTGAAGACGCGTGTCGGCAGCCCCTTTGTGAAGATGTCCGCAAACTGGGAGCTCGTCGGGACGTGAAGAACTGCAGCTCGCCTAGCATGACGCGTTCACGAACGAAGTGGAGATCTATCTCAATGTGCTTCGTTCGTTGGTGCTGCACCGGGTTGCTAGACATGTAGACGACGCTGACGTTGTCGCAGTAGACCACCGTAGCTCGCCCGGGAGGCTGATGAAGTTCACCGAGTAGTTGACGTAGCCACACCGTCTCGGCGACAGCGTTTGCCATGGCGCGGTACTCGGCCTCGGCACTGGACTGGGAGATGGTACTCTGCCGCTTCGACGACCATGTGAGAAGGTTGCTGCCGAGAAAGACACAGAAGCCGGAGGTCGACTTGCGTGTGTCTGGGCAACCTGCCCAGTCGGCGTCGGAGTAGGCAATGAGATCGGTGGAGGTGTCCCGATGGAGCTGGAGTCCGAGGTGCGTCGTCCCTCGCAGGTACCGTAGGATGCGTTTGACGAGCTGGAAGTGGCAGTCACGCGGCGCATGCATGAACAAGCAGCACTGCTGGACGGCGTAAGAGAGGTTGGGGCGTGTCAACGTGAGGTACTGGAGCGTTGCTCCACGGTCTCCGTGTGGCCAAGGAAATCAATTTAAGCCGGGTATGATGCTTTGGAGATTCTGATCTGGTGGCCCAACAAGTTTTTGGCACTTGGGATTCTAAGGATCCACTCATGGCGGCTTACATACGCGAGGTGGATATTGTGGCGGGTCACTTCAAAGGTTATCAGGTTGAGCATATTGACCGGTGCAAAAACGAAGCAGCAGATGCTTTAAGCCGGCTGGGATCTCAGCGTAAACCGGTACCACCCAATACCTTTTTAGATATCTTGCATAACCCGTCTGTTAAGTTGCCTACAGAGGAGGATTTAGCTGTTCCTGATCCGGAGGCCCAATTGGTAGCCGCTTTACATGTAATTCCGGATTGGACGGTTCCATATTTGGTGTATATGAACCGGGGCGAGCTACCAGATGATGAGGTTCTAGCCAGATAGATAGTCCGGTGATCAAAGTCCATGGTTATTCACAATGGCGAGTTACACCACTGCAGTGTTTCAGGCATGTTCCAGCGTTGTGTTTTCGCCTGAAGAAGGCCAAGAGATTCTATGCGAGATCCATGAAGGGGATTGTGGTCATCATGCCGGTTCGAAGTCCCTGGTGGCTAAAGCTTTTCGTCATGGTTTTATTGGTTGACAGCTCATGCTGATGCTGAGGATTTGGTAAAGCGCCGTGACGCTTGTCAGAAGTTTTCACGCCGAGCTCATGTTCCGGCTCAAGAGCTATGGATGATTCCCATCACTTGGCCGTTTGCTACTTGGGGGCTTGATATGGTGGGATCTTTTAAGCGCTCCAAGGATAAGAAGACCCACCTGTTGGTGGCAGTTGACAAGTTCACCAAATGGGTTGAAGCGGAGCCCATAAGCAAGTGTGACGTAGCTACGGCGGTTCAATTTCTCAAGAAGATCATCTTCCGCTTTGGCTTTCCACACAACATCATCACGGATAATGGCACAAACCTTTCTAAAGGTGATACGGAGGACTTCTGTCAGAGAGAGCACATCTGGCTTGATATAGCATCCGTGGCTCACCCCCAGTCTAGTGGTCAAGCTGAGAGAGCTAATCAAGAAATATTGAAGGGTATCAAGCCCTGGCTCATGGTTCCTTTAAAGCGGATGCCGGGTTGTTGGGTGGAAGAATTACCTTCTGTGTTATGGAGCATCAACACCACCCCCAATAGATCAATGGGTTACACACCTTTCTTCATGGTTTACGGGGCAGAGGCGGTCCTCCCAAGTGATATTCGTCATGATTCGCCCCAGGTTGCTAATTATGTTGAAGCAGACAATGAGCAAGCACACCAGGAGGCGTTGGACCTCTTAGATGAGAAGCGGGACATGGCTTTGGCTCGTTCGGCGGTTTATCAGCAAGACCTGCGGCGTTATCACAACCGCCAGGTTAAAACAAGAACCTTTCAAGAAGGCGACTTAGTGCTCCGGCTCATCCAGGATCAAACCGATATGCACAAGTTATCCCCACCTTGGGAAGGTCCCTTTGTGGTCAGCAAGAATCTGCACAACGGATCATACTACCTCATTGATGTTCGAGACAACTCACGCAGTTCTGAGAAGGGGACCCGGCTACCATGGAACATAGCTCTCCTTCGGCCTTACTACACTTAAGCCATAGGCTTCTCTTATGTACATATTTTGACAATGTATATATTATGATCAATATAATAAACCGACATCCTTGCTATAAGCAGGGCCTCTGCCGTTTTCCTCAAATATCTTTTGGTTACATGGGGGCTTCAGCTGACAAAGCGGAGTGCTTCCTGTTAAACCGGTAATCATGCCACAATACAGCTTGGGAGCTTCACACCCAAGGGGCCAAAGAGAGTCTGGATGCTATGCACAGCTCAAACATAGGCACCCATTGAGCACAACTCACATAAATTACTTGGGGGCTCTTTGTGCACTGCAACAAAGAGTTTGAAAGGACCCTTGTAATATGCTATCAAGCATGGCTTGGAAGCCTGGTGTATTCACGTAAAACCCCGGGTTAACCTGCCTTCATCAAGTAAGCCACTCCTATCCAGGTAATCCTGGCATGACCCGCCAAACGTTTGACAAGTCAATCTTATACAGACCCTGAACTTGTCAAAGTTAAAACGATGATTGGTTAGTTGGAGGTCCATCCTAAAAGGCTTTGCAAAATGGTTTAACTCAGCGGCCTGGCAACCCATGAAAAGCCTCGAATTTGGGCCTGGCAGCCC